CATTTGTTTTTTCTTAGATAGCTGCATTTGTTTTTTCTTAGATAGCTGCATTTGTTTTTTTTTAATATAGTTTATTTAACTTTATTATATTGACGGGCAGTCGTTGATGCGCAACCACAGCCGAGGTTCAGGTGGATTATCACTTACAGTATACTCAGTTAGCGGATTCTGCAGACTGTTGCGGGTTCAGCCTCCAGACGAGTCGGCCAATCTCTCTCTTTCTAGTGCTATCCCAGCTATGGCGCTCAGCGCTGAAGACTACAGCTACCTACTGGCGCCCAGCGCTGAAGACTAATGCTAACGCTACTACTATTCCTGCAGCGCTCCCTCCAGAGTGCTGCTGCCGAATCCTGAAGACTACTGACTGCCTCCTGCCTACCCGTGAAGTGCATGGGAAGTCCCTATGTACTACCTTGGCCTGCCTCCTGACTGCCTCCGACTGCCTGCAGTTGCAGGGCGGGCAGTCCAGGAGGCTGCTCTTGCCAATGCCACGCTGAGCCAGGGGCTGGCGCTGCAGCTGTCGTGGGAACAGGCCAAAAATAGCCTGTTCCTAAAACCCTGGTTCGGTGCCTGAGTTTCAGGGAGACCGGAAATGGCCCTTCGTTTCAGGCTAAAACGGCTGCTGCCATTTTTAGTCTGAAACAACCCAGGGTCTGTAGGCCCCTGGATTTCAGGCTTTCGAGCTGAATGGTCACGGGGCCTGTAGGCCCTGGTTTTCAGGCTTTCAGCCTGAATTTCAGGCTTTCGGCCTGAGGGACGCAGGGCCTGGAAAATGGCCCTCGTGTGCAGGCGCAGCATGTAACATACACACACACACTGAACTCTAACTACAGCTATGGCGGCTATGGCCGCTACTACCCTATCGGTATGGCTACACTCCTTCTCTCTCGCCCACTTCGTCCTCGGGCTCACTGCAGACCACCTCGCACAAGTCGCTTGTGGCAGCGCTTCTGCATGGCTCACGCAGGAATGAATGAATGACTGGGCGTTGCCTCTTGATTTATACTTCTGCAGCTCGTTGGTCTGGCCCTTTCCCATGCCCGTAGTGCACACAGTCCCATGCGGTACTTGCTTGACTGGACCAGGACTGACTGGAGACTGGGACTGTTGACTCAGCACGGGTAGACTCCACCACTTGCCCACTTGCCTCAGCCTAAACGTGGGCAACTTCGAAAGGCCACTACTGGGACCTTCCGGAACGCCGTAGACTTGGTCTTTTGTTACTGTAGCAGCTACGACCTTGACCCTTCTGGACTGTAGCAGCTACAACCTTGACCCTTCGAGAAGGCTACAGCTACGACTTCTAGATCTAACTGAGACTCCTACTCGACAGGTCTACAGATCGAACCCCTGCTACCTATGGACCCTACGACAGTCTACCAACTGTTACAAATACACATGTGGCATTCTGAGCCACACGGGCCCCAGTTAGGGCCCGGTTCCAAACAGGCAGGGTAGGCCTAAGGGACGACAGTTCAGATGAGGCCCAGAGGGGCCTGGACCACGGCGGTTCAGGCAGGCCCAGGCCAGACGGCCACAAGGCCGGTACCGGTCCAGCCTAGGACCTACCAACAGCGGTTCAGAGGCTGCCACAGTTTAGGCGGCAACCAGTTTTAAAACTGGACCGTTGATCTAGATCAACGGTCCAGGCCAGTAGGTACCAGCGAGTTGGAGGCCGGCCCAGCACTACAAAAGGCTGGGTACCAGCCTCAGTAGGGAGGTTAGTAAGGCTAGAGGTTAGTCTTCAGGATTAGCGCATCAGTGCAGCGTTAGCTCTTTTAGCGCAGCACTGCAGCACAGCGAGGAGCAGCGAGACAGCGAGGTTCAGCGGCGAGCAGGATTAGCACAGCGTTGGGTGCAGCGCCAGTTACCGGCCCAGCCCCTTGCAGCGCCATAGCGACGGACCAGGTATCAGGGAGGAAGGCTTCGCCTTCTCTCCCTCTTCTCCTCCATCGCTCCTCTCTCCTCTCCCTCTCTCTCTCTCTCTCCTCCTACCCTCTCAGTCTAAATCTACTTCTACTTCTCCTACACAACTACTGCAGTATGGGAGATGGTTATGAATTCTGATGACATCTGAGACAGCGACATTGGGACTACGAGTGGAGGACTATTTGGGGATCTGATTTCATCTCCTTCCGGAGGTGTACTTGACATTGTGAGATCGATATCTGGGATATTGTGAGACTTGGCATTCGCGACATTTCGGATTTTCGTCACTTCTGACAATTCAAGATACTATCTTTGGAAACATTGAGTTGACGTCATCTTCCCTCTCCTCTTCTTCGTCTCTCTCCTCTCCCACTTCGTCCGTGGATGATCTCAGTCCCTGGCCCTTCGTCTATGTCTGAGGCCAGGGCATTCACACCCCTGATGAATGTTTGAGAGTGTTCAATTGCAGTCCGAGTCAGGTCCAAGTCAGTCCAAGGTATCTCAAGTCTTCCGCTTGCATTTGTATTAACTCTGTATTATCTGGTCGGTTCTGGGAATCTGCGCCATACTTATGACTGTGTTTCACGAGTATGCAACAACACAGGTCACGGGTTCAACTCTAGGGGTCGACACAGATACTGTACACAGGTAAGGTGGGGACTAGGGATCGAGCCCTGGGATCTGCATCAGCTACTGCGAATTGGTGAATACCGTTTCAGATAGATATTCATTATAAAGCTCCATTCGGCTCAGCTCTACTCAGCAGAAATCTGTTCAGCTTATAGGCTTCTTCGAGAACTGCACATTTCCGAACTATATATTGTAGATCAGACTTTAAAAAAAGGAAAAAAAAAGACTGTACCTCCGGGTTAAGCTCAGCCCACCATATTAAAAACAAACAAACAAACAAACAAACAAACAAACAAACAAACAAACAAACAAACAAAAAGAAAAAGCTCCACCCATATCTACGCAACCTTATTTTTGTTTTTGTTTTTTTTCCTCCTCTCGCTGCAAAGAAAAGATCGAACCTTTCGTTTTTCTTTTTTTTTTCGTCTGTCTGCATTTAGCATTTCGAACAAGTAGTAAGGCCGCTAGGAGCTTCGTACTGAGTACTATTGACAAACCATGTTACAACCACTCCATGTGTGTGGCTGAATGGATTAGTGGTATAGTACACACATGTAACCGTTAATGAACAGAATCCCGACCGAACAACATGAATAACAAAAAATAATATGTCACGCGCCACCCTCTTTTCCCAAAAAAAGACAAAAACAAAAAAAGACCGTATCGGATCAGCTACAAACTCTCGGTTACGTACTTAACGACCAGCAATTACAAATGCTCTCTCTCTCTCTCTCTCTCTCTCTCTCTCTCTCTCTCTCTCTCTCTCTCTCTCTCTCTCTCTCTCTCTCTCTAACCTATCTATCTATCGATCCATCTCATCTATCTGATCCATCTCATCTATCCATCTAATCTATCTATCTATCTATCTATCTATCTATCTATCTATCTATCTATCTATCTATCTCAGTTTGCCCTATATCGGTCTATCACACTATATCGGGTCTTTCCCTTTGTGTACAGATCGCTGTCTGTCTCCCCTCTATCTACAGCCCCCTCCTCTCAAGTATCTCTGTCTTTATTTATTTCCTGATCAACCATCTAACTACTTGACCTTACAACGATAGTAAGGTTAAAACCTCAGAAGCATCAAATAGCAAGGCCTGTTTCTTTCTAAGTCTTTCGATTATTTCTCTATCTTTCTTTCTCTGTCATCCGCCATAGCCATAGCCAGTGTCGAACCTCGTCCACGAATACCAAGGGCCGAACCCCTTCCAGCAATAGAAGAGACTTCCTGTGCCTTGTAGTGCCAGGCCGTGTCTTGCCATCCCGTGCCCTGCTTGTAGATCCATCATCGAGCATTCATTCGTCGATCACCTATCATTCAGTCATCGATCGCCGATCATCCAATCATCCAATCATCCAATCATCCAATCATCATCGATCATCAACGCTTTCGTTAAAGGGGACAACAGCATTGGCCAACACTTGCATGTATGTGAACGACGAGCAGTAATCGGATGATTACCCCTCCAGGAGAGGGAGAACTCCCTAGTTGCCCTCTTCCTGACTCTTCTCTCTCCTCCTGGGGACACCCTTTTTCTTAAATATATTACAAAGGGAGTCCCCGATCTGTTTCTCCTTGTTACATGGCAATTCAATCCCTTCTTTCCTCCGCCTAGTGTGTAATTTCCTGCTGGAGTAGGATTAGGGGAAGAAGGGATAAAAGTGCCCGGGGGGGGGG